TGAGTTAAAAATAAAAAAATGAATAAATATACCTCTCTCGTTCACAAAAACAAATAAATAAAAATTAATATTAAAGTATTTTCCACAGTGTTTTTTTATTTCTTTTTTATCATAGACATTAAAAAAAACTAATATATTACAGAAGATTCTTGTAATCCTGAGGAAATAATACATTATCAATTTTTGTTTTATAAACTTCTTTTTAAGTAAAGTTCAATTTTCTGTTGTTTTTTTTATATCTTAAACTATACAATCCCTTCATTTTGTCTTGATTTTTATCCTGTCTAAGAAATTTATTGCTAAACATTTTACACTTCTGACATTATTCTTCTTCTCTCCCTCTCCCCTCCCCACCATCGACAAAGAACACTACAACCATGTTCTTCCTTCTTTTATTGGGTGATGTTTGGTCTTTATTCAAACAGTAATTTTATTAGAAAACATGATACTCAACTACAGAAAAATTGGGGAGAATTAATTAATAATTTGTCTCTTTAAAATTAATTTATTCTGAATATTAGTAAGAAACATATCTATTAGTTTTATTGCAATAAAATTGTTCAACACTATTTTCCCAACTTTAAAAATCTACACACATGACCTAACATTTTTATTTGGATGAACATAAAACCCGATTAAATACAATGGAATTTAATTTAGTAAGATAGCATTTTCTCAGCCAAAACAAAATGCAAGACAATTAAATTTTAATTCCTTAATTTAAGTAATTGTAAAATTTTGAGAGAAACATCTCAAGGTGTTTTTATTTGATTATTTTGTTTTAATTGTCTAAATATTTAAATACTATAACAATGATATAGTAGTTTTATTTTAATAATTTATAATCTCTGTATTGCACTTTGAGTAGAATAATTAGCATACTATGAAACACAAACAAATTTAATCTGGTCAATAATATTAAATTTTAAAACAAAATATTATTGATTCATCTAATTTAATTAAATTTTTGGAAGATATCTATTGAATTACATTTGACAGCGTTAGTGTAATACCTTAAAAAAACACAGAGGTAAGAATATTTTTTTTTTATTTTTAATGTTTGATTAAGCAACAAATTAAAGAATTGTATAGTGTATAGCTTCCTAACCCATTGAGTTTAATTAGAATTTAAGCAATTGTATAAAAAAAATTTATGAATTACATATTTTAAATTGTAAAAAACGTATAATGATTTCATTTAAAGTAAGTTTTTACCTAGGAATGTATTTTATAATTTAGATAACATAAAGAAGAAAATTTCAGGTTTAGAATATTGACCACTAATGCCTTAGAACAGACATTTAATAATAAATAATAGACATAGCTTTAACAAAATTTTATGCTTTATTATTATAACACATTCATTCAGCAACTAATGGTAATACTGTGATGAATTGAATTATAAAGGTGTTTATTTTAGTCTCAAAAACATTAAATTTTATTATTATTAATATTTTTTAGTAGTACCACGGAACATAGAATAAAGAAGAAGCACTACCAAGGCTTGGTTAAAATTGGGGAAATAGCCCCCACTCAATCCATGCTGTTATTAATCTTTTTAGAGAGTAATGATATCTATAAAATTTCTAAAATGCAATCAAATATATTTGCGATAAAAACATTAACATGGGAGAGAAGGCTTGTTTTGGGGGCTTTTTTATACTACAACCAAAGAAGATACGACAAGATATATTATTGTATATTAAAAATAATATAATATTAATAGACAACGATAATTCACTAACAAACCAAAAAAATATTGAAAGTGAATCAATAATAAAAACAAGAACAAATAAGACACTCTAATCACCATCAGGGAAAAATTATCAACAGGTTAACAGAGGTTCAAAGGATTGGGGTGACTTGCCTAGCAACTTTTGCTATCTCTTAACTAGTATTTTCTGCTTCACTGTTCTGTGATTAGAATTCACCTTAACAAGATACACCTTATCTGAAACTCAGATTATTTGGGAATTTTGTTTATGCATTCATGACAATCAACTTCATCCCACAAATATTCACCAGCTCCAGTAAGAAGTGGATACTGATAAAATAGTGGCATAGCATAACCAAGAAAAATGAGTGTACAATAAGCTCCTAACAAAAATGTCAGATTTTCATTAAATTAAATGTGTTTTTTTTTTTTTCAAATCATGTACATATCTTTATGTTTACTTACTTGTTTATTACATACACATGTAATTATTTTAGCCTTTCCATAAACAGAATGACTAACTCCAATTTTCGATGATTAATTTTAGTGATATTTCTAGTGGGAAAATTTATACCTTTATTCACAGTTTTATATTTCAACACTGCAATCACCTACTCTGGAATCAACTAACTCAATGCCAGTACAGATATTATAAATTTTCTAACTAAAAATATCACTAAAATGAGTTTACTCAAAAATTTTGAAATTGTAGTTCATTAGTCATTCTGTCAACTGAAAGGCTCATTTATATTTTTATATCAACAAATTTTTATTTACTGATAATATCATCCTATACCGTGCATTTCATGTTGTCCAACATAGCCCTGGCCACATTTTTTTGGTTAAACAAGGTTTATAAACAGTTATATAAACAAATTCTCGTTTCAAACAAATTTTTGCTTTAAATAATGTAATCAGAAACAAGTTTTATCCACTTAATTTTTCTAGTATTACTATATTGAACTTCTGGTTCGGGTGTTGACTGCATAATATTCATCAATATATCTATTTATATTTTTTACCCAATGTTTATAATACATTTTGTGTTGATTATAAAATTTAAATTAACACTAAGTTCCATGATAATTAAGATTGATATTGTTAAATAAGTGATTCCAAATAATTATTTATTATAATTTAAAAAAATACTGATACCCAACATTTTTACTGAACTATGTAGGCCTTCTTCAGAACTAAATAAATAAAATTTTAAAAATGTAATAACAAAAAAAAGCAATTTGTTAACTTGGCGGCTTATCTTTTATTTTCTAAAAGAAATTTCTTAAATTTAACACATTAAAGGCCACAGATATTGTCCATTTAAAAAATGTACCATAATCTTTTTATATAAAATTAAAATTTCATTTCCTAGACTCAGATCCAAGATGTAACAATGTTAAATAGTTTCTACATAGATGGAAAGCAACAAGTTTTTAGCTTTATTCGACTACTTAATTGGAAGACCATAATGCAAACTTTATAGCTATCTTACTTATATATTCATTCAATGAAAAATCCTTTTATAAGACAAACTGAAAATAAAAAAATATTCTATACATTATAATGTATAAATTATTTGTATTGAAAAAGTATGTTTTTAATTTATCAATCTTTGAATTCATACAGATTTAGATTAATAAAGAGCAGATCCTTCAGTATCAACTCAGGATTCTTCTATACTTTTGGACCCTAAAGTTACAATTTTACTTAATATGGGAACACAATCATAGAAATGACTATAAAAAAAAACTCATTACTTTATTTAATTTCGCTATTAATATACTGAAAACAGTCAAATTAATTCATATGAGCTTTAAAGAACTATATCAATATATTTTAAACTCAAAGAAATTTTAAAAAAAGAAAAAATATATGGTATTTAAAAAAATTAAAAATTACTAGTTTCTCTAGATCAGAGAAAGTAGTCATTTTTAATTGTCTTAAATAATAAAAAAATAAGGCAGATCGTCTTCCATCAGGATCCAGGGGGAAAAATATGAAAATAAGATTTACTAGGATATATCAACAAAACTTAATGAAATATCTCATCAAAAACATCCTTTTTAGTATTTCTGGCTGCTAGAATGCAAATGACTTAAAGAGTAATGTCATAGCAACTTAATAAAAAGATTTTAAGAATTGATTAAATTGCAGTTAAAATAATTTGTAAACTATTTCTCTTCCAACTTTGCCAACAGGTTATAATAGAATTATTATTAGCTAAAAATTGATTCAAATATTTAATTAATACTTAGTAGAAATGTCAAATGGTTCCTTGTATAGTCTGATCATTAAAATAAACATAAATTGGGGAAGGTGTATCCAAGAATCTTTGAAATTCAAATATCCAATTTCATCATAAACTTTCTCAAGCCTTCTCCAATGAAATCATTCTAGCCATTATAAAATCAATAGGATTTAGTCAGATTAACAGACTGAAAAACACCCATCAATTCATCAGAGTTAAAGATTAAAACCTAGGAGCTTGCTGCCACCAATTCCATAACATTATATATGCATTAATTTTCATTTCCATAAAAATTATATAACACATACAAATTTTAAACATTAATAACTTCAATAAAGTTGAGAGTAAACGATAATTTATATAAATTATAATAACAAATTTACACCTTGTTCACCACAATAAATGAACGACAATGACTTGCATGGGCGCAAATGGTGTGAGTGCCTAACATCAGATGACACAACTTACATTCACTTAACATAGATTTATTGAAGAAAATTTTGACTATTAATTTTTTTTTTAATTAATGTAATATTTATTAAAAATATTTTTAACTTTTTATTCCCTGAGATATGCAAAATGTATTGTTTTTTTCATATTTTATATATATTATTTATGCAGGTGAAATTCAAAAATTAAAAAACAAAAAAAAAATTAAAATCTCTAAGACTTAAAGGGTATTAATTCGGTAAACACCAGGATGGGATTTTCATGACCTGGTGAGGAAAATTGTGATGAGGTGTACATAATTTCTCACAACCTTAATTTCTGTTTTTTGGACTGAACAGCTTATAGTTTTTTACATACTTGTTTATCTTCCCCAAGTTGAGTTGATTCTATACCCAGACTCCTGTAAAAACATTTGTCGGGATATTGGAAAAATAATAACTTTATAAAATAAAAAAATATAGTCAGACAAAAGAGCTAAAAAAATTTTTTCAGGACATAGGCTCAGTAAACTAATAATTAGAAATATTATAATAAGATAACCAAAAGAAACATAATCTTCATACAGATCCATATAAAAAAAAACTAGTTTTAAAGCATTTTTTTCCTTCTTGTTTCTCGACGCCTTTCAGTATCTGAGGTAGGTTGGGTTCTTAATTCTCTATATGATATCTAAAAAAAAAAATAATAATAATAAATAAATAAATAGACCACTATTTAATTTGCTATTTGCTATTATTTAATTATTTAATATATATGCTATTATTATTATAGATTTGCTATTATTTAAAAATATTTAACTCTTGAGTAATACTTATCACCGTTTATGTTCCTTTTAGAAATCAGTTTTTTATTGATTTCAGTTTATTTTATTTTTTAATAAATTCTTTTCTCTAACATTATGTTGAAATAAGGTTGTGCCGTTTACCGTAGGATTTCTTTCATGAGTATGGTTTATTTTTCCACTACAATTTTTACAACTCTATATTTAATCAAGTTGTTATTAAGAAGAAGCAAGCAATCAACTATCTTAGGAGGGTATGCGAAATCTTTTGAGGAAGGTGGAAGGCAGCTCTAATGCACACGAAATGAACGCTATGATAAATGGTATAGCGCAATTTCAATGCATTGCCATGATTGATATTTGAAAATCTTTAACATTGAAACAGTATCGTAAAATGTTTTGAACCGCATGTGTTGCTTTTACATCCAACTGATGGTGCGTTTTAATAAATATGTATAGTTTCACCTTATATTTTATAATAGTAGATATATTAAACCACACACGTATTTAAATGCAACGTTAAGCCAAAATTTCAAGGCAATGGGTGAAGAACTTTCTGAGATTTAAGAGTTTAAACAACCAAACATTTACATTTTTATTTGCCATAAAATGATCAACACAAAGTTGAACATTAAACAATACATTAAATATAAAAAAAATAATAATAAAATTAAATATGAAAATATATGAGTGGCTTGATATCAAAGGATGGATTTCTGTCATTTTCAGAAAGCGAGATAAAGTCAATTTTAGTTTTATAAGTTCAACTCAGACTGTTTCTGATGATTAAGAATGACGTTGTATTCACTCAGATAATAACAAATGTTCAAGTTGATTCGTGAAAAAAAAATCATTAGAATTAGTTTAAATCGAAGCCATTTTACAGACAAATTTGGTTCCCAACTTTTTAAAAATGATAGATTCCTTTGGTATTAATCCACTCATATGTCTCTCTGAATGAGAGACTATTGTAGACTGAAGAAGAAAATGCAAATATTGAATGTTCCAACTTAATAAATGTGGGATTTCAGTAATTCCATCATAGTTATATAATAAGGAGACATAATTAATTAAACAGGAACCTTTGTCTTTTGTCTAGATTAAATTATTCTGTGATACAAAGGGGTGAACAGACATTTGTATAAAGATCCAGACAAATTTTAAACTATCAATATATTGTATAGCAGGTCAACTCCTGCTACTAGGTCCAACTACTAGGTCAACTAATAACTCCATTAATTAACTTTATTGAAATTATATGTAATAAATACATACCAAATGTTCATTGTATTGAATACTTACCAATTGTTCATTGTCTGGAACACGAGATAACAGATCTAAAACTTCATTATTTGGTATGCAATGAGGTCTGATGAGTTTCCTGGCAAACTTGTTTACTCCCCAAATCAATATTAGGTACCTTACTGGTATCCAGTACAATACAAACACACCAACTATTGTCAAAACAAGTGCTAAGTAACTCAAAAACGGAACAGTAAAGTTGAATGTACTGAAAATAAATAAACCATAAAAGAATTGCTGCTATATTGTAAGAGATTTCAATATAATAAATAATTGCATCTTCTTTTTGAATCAATAAACTTTGGAAAAAATAACATAAGAAAAATTGTAAAAGCATTACATTTTTTTATTCCTAATAAATTTTATTTGATTTTTTAAAAACCCATTTTTCAAATAACCTTGGTTTGAACTACTTTACAAGTTTTTAATTTTTTTTGACATAAACAGAATAAAAGAGTTTTTCATGTCTGTTTATTTATTCAAATTCTATTTCAACATGAGTTGATTATTCATTAAGGCTGCCAACTTTAAAAAGTGTGATCATAAATCATAAATTTGTACTGCACGTGAGTCTTTCTCAATGTTGAACAGGCGTTTGATAGGGTTTGGCACCCGGGACTGATGTACAAAACCTGTAAATTCCTATCACCTACATACTTCCTCATTATCCGATCCTACCTTACTGATAGATGCTTTAAAATAAATCACAAAAGCTCTTATTCATTCCTTTTTTCCCAATCTGCTGGTGTTCTTCAAGATAATATCCTATCCTTCACACAGTTTATGCAGCTGACATCCCAAACCATTCTGACACTGTCATCACCACATGTGCTGATGACACATGTATCCTATCTGTTAATAATGATCCATCAACTGCATCCCAAACTCTCCAATCACATATCACAAACCTTGAAGAATGGTGTAAAAACTGGAGAATTAAAATAAATTCCAATAAATCCCATCAAATTACCTTTACCCTGCGTCGCAAACCTATGACCTCCTGTCCTACAGTATCCTTTAACAATTCCCCACTTATCCCAGTTGAACAAATCCGTTACCTAGGACTCCACCTGGACAAACGACTCACATGGAATCCTCATACAAGACTGAAACGACAAGAAACCGCTCGACGTTTCCGACTACTCCAACACTTACTAGACAAACGCTCTAAGCTTTCAATCAATTACAAACGACTCATATATATGACAATAATAAGACCTATTTGGACTTACGGAATTGAGCTTTGGGGCTCCACTAAACCATCGAATTCCTCTCGTATCCAATCCTTACAATCCAAAATCCTTCGTAAAATCCTCAACGCTCCTTACTTTGTCACAAATAAAATCATCTATAAAGACCTTAATGTTCCATATGTTTCCGATTTGGCCCAATCCAGATACCTATCCTTCCATAACAAACTCCAGAACCATCCGAACCCTCTCGTTTCAAACCTTGCTTCCTCCTCGATCCTGATAACCCTCCGAGGCATCTGAAAAGAAGGTGGCCTCGTGATCTTCTTGTGTAAATTTATTATTTGAGTGCTATCAGTGGATAGTTTCTCAACAAGCGATTTCATGTTATTATATTCCTGAGTGCACATTTACTAGTTGTATTTTTTTTTTATAATACAGTTATAAATATCAATGAATAAAAAAAAATAAATAAATAAAAAAATAAATCATAAATATTGTGAAAGTTAGTTGAATTATAATTAGTGAAAAGAATTTAATTACAAATGTCATTCATCATAATGTAACAGAAGAGAAAAAGAAACAAAAAAAAATAAAAACAAAAACAGCAAGTTTAAGTAAAACATCAATTACTTAAGTGAAAACATAATGCTGTTTGGGTGTGAACATTTTCAGAAATTCAAATGAGGAATAAATCCAAAGGAAAATAAAATAAAAATGATTTCTTCTCAAGAAAATATTCCTTATTTGTTAAAGATAACATTAACAAAAATATACCTTGAATCATGGGTGTCCATCCCCCCCAAGGTCGATGGCGCAAGAACCTACACCCCCACCTCCTCCAAAGATATTTTACTGCTCATCTTTTCTTAAAAACAGAGCAAGCTAAGTTAAAATTACAAAAATCGTAGATCATATACAATTACAGATGCCGCGGTATGTTCCACATTTCCCCTTGTTCAGTTTTCCCCTAGTCCAAAAATTTAAAAAAACGTCGAAATATGCACCACTCAAAAATCTTGATGGTACAGTTTGTGCCATGAAACCTCCTTCTGGGCACCCCTGCCTTGTGTACCTTAAGAGTTTCGAAAATGTTTGCCTATGGTTGAGGATGGTAAAGGCTAAAAAAAAACAACAATACAGCTAATCAATTCACCAACAACTTTGATTATCATTATTTTCACTTAGATCATTATTAAACAATAAGAAAAGAAGAGATTTACAACATGAAGAGCAGTTTGTGTAATTGTTAAAAACAGAATTTAATAGAAAAAAATTTAATTTAATAATGATTTTATACCATAATAATTATTACCTACCAAATCCATTAACTTTGGGTGACCTGTATATAAATACATTTAGCATAAGGAGGTGACGGCGGTCCCAACACCCGGTCAAAGTACTTCAGATATCCACTGCCTCTCCAGATTGGGGAAACAGAACACTGAAACCCACACAGTACACACAACATTCACCTGCACATTATACACTAAGGTCAATAACAGTACTCACCCTAGGACAACCTACCCTAGGTAGCCTCCCTGGATAGGGGAGCGAGTCAGGGAGCTCTCAGGAGGAAGCCCTTCACCTAACTTGAGGGCAGTGGACAAATAACCTGCTCACCCTAAACTAAATTATCATGAAACCTCAAAGAGATAATACTAGACTAATGATTGGTAACAAACCTGGAAACCACCTTAAGGACATTAACATGACACATTGGAATATTATAGCATTATACAGACCCCGAGGACTTCAGTGCATCCTGAACATAATAGACCATTAGAACAAACTTGACATCACCACACTTCAGGAAGTTAGATGGAAAGGTACAGGAAACTTCAAAAATGTGTCTACGTATTACAGCTCTGACAACATTCACACACTGGGTATGGGATTCATTGTGTGAGGACACATGAGGAGAAATTATTGGCTTTGTTCCAGTGAATCCAATAGGCTGTGCCACATATGTGTTAAATCTGTAGCACAGTCAGAGTTCATGGAGATTACTCAAGGGAGTTTTGGAAAGAAAAAGGTCTACACCAAGGAGATGGATTGCCATGTCTGCTGATCATACTGGCCTGGAGAAGGCAGTTTAAGATTCAGGTGTATACACCTCAAAAACCATCATTCATCGAAGTGTTCAACTATTGGCCTTCGCAGATGATGTAGACATAGTTGTGAGATCAAGGAAAGCTATGGAGGATGCCTTTCTTGCTCTTCAGTTGAAGTGAACGCCCCAGCTCCCCTCTTAGGAAATTTCTCCTTTGAAAAGGTTTCAAATTTTGTCTATCTGGGAACGCTTTCACATCATCAAACAACATGCCCAGTTCTTACTTACGCTTCAAAAACTTGGACTCTAACTATGGCAGATGAGAATAGTTTCCTAATTATTGAAAGAAAAATATTAAGAAGAATATACGGCCCTGTTAGAGAGAGTGAAGCATGGAGAAGAAGGAAGAACCATGAACTCTATAGCTTGTACGGAGACATCGACATAGTATGGTTCATCAAGGTGGATAGCCTCAGCTGGAAAGGGCACATGGTGAGCATGGCTGAGGAGTGGATGCCCAGAACAGTTATGGAGAGGATGCTGGACCGAACAAGGAGAAGAGGGAGACCCAGGTTAAGATGGATCAATGGTGTGGTTGCTGATATGAGTACAATGCTACACTAATAGAACTGGAAGGTGACAACGAGAGACCAAGCTGGATGATGGAAACTCTTAGAGCAGGCCAAGACCCACACCACGTTGTAAAAGTCATCAAAGTAAGTAAGTAAGTGTATAAGCACAACTTTTTTGCTGAATAATTATGTGTTCTCACTGGTTACTTACGTATACCTTAATCTTTAGGGTATATAAATGGGCTCCACTCCTTTAGGAGTTCAAAGTTTGTGTAAAAAATAAATAAATTTTGATGAATAATTTTGGAAATTTATAGCCATGTCTTGTTGAATGATGAAATTAAATATTTTTTTAAAACTAAGTAACAATAAACTTTAATCTCTGGACTTTTATCACAAAAACCAATTGTTGAATACTAAAAAAAAATTTCTGTGGTAATTTAAACCTGATAGCTTTTGAAATGATTTAGTTGCAACTGGAATTATTCTTTAAATGAATAGCAGCTTTACCAGGAAAAAGTCAACAAATCAGATGTTTACAAACCACTTCATCTTTACTTATAAACAGACTTAAACAACAGGTCAAGATTTAAAGAATGAAGTTTTAGGCCCTTAGCAGGGTGGCCAAGCAACCATGAGGGTGACCAGACTGCCAACCAGTCTCTGTTTACTCTAAAATGCACACCAAATGACCAATTGCCCTATTGCAATTACACAAGGCAACCAACTATTCTAATACCAACTATAACCAAGTCATTTAACCAAATTTTGTGACCAGGAAGGTGACAAAAAAGATTCTTATCACTGGATACTGGATTCATGAACTTTGAAATATCAAAAATTTGAATAGTAAGATAATTAAAATGAAACATAAATTTTATTTTTTTAAAAAGAAAAAAGCATTATTGACACAAAAACTCATAACATAATTAATTTATTTGTGAAATAAATGGGTAAGTGATGGCAGCAATAGCCTTGGTCATCCTCCCAGACACCAAACCCATTAAACTGTATGGTTTCCATCGGCAACTAAGGCCATTTCCCTCCATACCTTTCCATTTATTTTTCAATCCTCAATTCACTATGTTATTATTACTTTTTTTTTTGGCAATAACACTTTTTTTTCTAGTCCTTTCTTAAAATTTTGAAAAAACTGGGGTCACCTGTTTATTGCAGAGGAGAGAATATATAAAAGGAGAACTCTAGAACAATTGTGGGATATTGGAACCTGCTTCCTCTGCAGGTTCAAGGATTTATTTATACAGATGACATAGTGGTATTTGCAGATGGGGTAAAATGTTTGAAGTATCTTTAAATGATTAGTCTGAAGAATTGAAAAGAAAAGGATTGAGCAAGGTTACACAAATCAGAAGGACAGACCAACAGTGTATAATGAACTGCCTTAGACAGATCCTCAATGTAGTGGGTAATTTTAATTACCTGGGTACCATCATAAGTTGAGTTGGGTGAATAGATCAGAAGATACTGAACAGAATAAGAAATACTAATATATCTAATATCTTCCAAATATTTTCAGCACTGATAGGCATAAGAGAAGTCAGCAAAGAGACAAAGTTATGCCTATTTAAGTCGGTATTTTTACCTGTTCTTCTGGATTGGTCAAAGTTAAATTGTTCTGAAGAAATATGTGAGCAAAGGTTATAACAGTAGAAACGAGATATATAAGAAAAGTAGCTGGTAAAACCAGACAATACTATGTAAGAAATAAAAACATCTGTAGCTTATCAGGGATAAGATCTGCTATTGAAGTCCTAGAGCAGCAACAGCTGAAATGGTTTGGCCATGTTTGTAAGACAGGAGATGACCCAAAAGACCTGCTGGCTGATGAAAGCAAGGCCAATAGGAAAGTGCCCTGTTGGTAAACCAAGAATTAGCTATAATGACTACATAGAAGGGCTCGGAAGAGAATGTGATTAAACAATGGATGGACAACAAAAAATGGTTCTGGATAGAAATATCTAAAGAGATGAACTGAAGTTACTCCATGCCCAACAATACTATGGAGATAGAGAAGGAAGAAGAAAAAACTCAGCTCATATTCATGAAACTATTATATGCTTTTTAATTTGTTAGATATTTACTTTACATAGATCCAGTTCAATGTAATGATTTAAAATAATTAAATTTATATTTTTATTTTAGATTTTGTTCTATAGTAATATTAACATTGGTTTTGTTTAAAATTGTTTTAATTTTGTGCTAATAAGGTTATTCACATATACAGTAGAGTCCTAATAATCTGGCCCCTGTTGGAATCACTGAAAGATATAAATAAACTGTAAAATGTTTTGTTTTTTCCTTAAGAATTCCTTCAATATGAAGTTTTCTTCAACCGAACTCCTTCTTCAGCAAGTCTCTATATCTCTGCCAATCCATCGCATCCTCCTCCCCCAACAGTCCCCTACCAGCCATCCTTTCCACCACTCTAACTTTCCATTTAATTGAAGGTCTTCCTTTCCTTTTTCTGCCTCCTGCCTCCCAGTCCATAATCATCTTTGGTAGCCTATTGTCGCCCTTTCATCTCACATGGCCATACCATTTAAGTCTCCTTTCTTCCATCACCTCTAGGATATTTTGTTTTAATTCCAATCTCATTCATTTAAAAATCCAGAGAGACTAAAAAATTCTCACTTACATCCATTTCTTTTCTGGACCATTAGGTACAATTTTTTTTTATTGGGGTACATTTATATATTTTCATAACATGATTATGAGAGAACACTCACTAATTAGGTTAATTTGTAAGAAATAAAGATATCCATCTGTAATATCAAAATAAATGACAATTGGATAGCAGATTATTTATTATATGAATATTTATAACAAAACTTTATATTAAATACACAGGTCACTTTGGGGCTACTATGATGGATAAAAATGGTTGGCAGCCTTATACTGTAATGATTACTAAAGATATAGTCGTGTGATAAAGGAATAATATTTTCTCACTTTGTTATACTTTCTCCTAAAGAAGCAATGTAACCAATCGAATTTTGAACAGTTTGAGTAACTTCCTGAATAGCCTGTAGGCGTTCTTTTAAACTTTTTTTCTCTTCCTGTAACAAACAATCATATTTAACTAACAAACAAATTTAAGCACATGGGAATACAAAATCTCTTATATATTAATTTCTTAAATTCCATTAAATTTAAATAATATGAATTTGTAGGTTCAATTATGTGTTAATTTATGGTTTAATGTATATAAACCCAATAATTAAGCGATGAAAAAAATAACTACATAAATGTTACACTAATAATCAATTATATTGTAAAATAATACCTAATTATTAAAAAAAAAAAATCTGTATGTTCAGCCTTGAAGTAAGATTTTTAAAAGTGCTTAATGAAGAATATGAACTTTTTAACATTTATTAAACATATATATATATATATATATATATATATATATATATATATATATATATATAAGATAAAGACCGGAGACTGGCGATATCAGCCTTAATACCATCTTGTAATGTAAACAAACATGCTAATTGTATATAAGGAGAATTATTGAACGAATAAAGCAGTGTTTATTCAGAAGCCGTGAGTGTTGCATCTCAATCCTTTTCCTTCTTTTTTTTTATTTCTGAAGTCCGCCGACGCTTAACTGGTGCCGAAACCCGGGACAACGTCAGGAGAACACAACAAGTAATTTTTTTTTTGAGCTAAGTTTATTTTTTTTTTCTAGTCATAAGGAAAAGGAGAGATGCCGACCGAGGGCTTAATTAGACCGGGAGTATTAAGCGCACCGGAAATTCCTCAACCTCAGGAAATTCCTCAGATCAACCAGATACCTCAGATCACGCAGACTCCTCAGGTCCCTCAGATACCTCTCAGGTATCACAGATTCCTCAGATCCAGGAGATCCCTCCCTTACCAAGGGACACGTTGGCAGAAGCTCACGCCAACGCATTGGAATGGATGAAAATAAGAGCAGCAACTACGCAGGACTTACGGAGGGCCATTGCGGACCTGGAACGCTTCGGGGGTGAGGTAGGTGAGCTCAACCATTTTTTGAAAGGCGGAGATCGCCTCATGTCAAGAATCGAAGTAAAGGTGGCAGAGGACCTAGTGAACCTAGGGGACGCAGAAGCATTAAAAGCAGCTCTTGTGTGCCGAGTAAGGAGGAACGTCCTGAACCAGATTCAAGCGGACGAGGAGACTCCATGGCCGGTGATTAAGGAGCGATTGAAGAAGGCTTTTGGAGGAGGTAGATGGACGCCGGAAGAGGATATCTTCCAAATGTTTAGGGAGCGGCGGTCCCAACGACAGACGAGGGGACAGTACGCGGGGGTACTCGTGGCGAAGTACAACCGCATAACCGAGAAGATGCGTGAAACGATTAGCGTGGGAGAGGTTGAAGCCAGGATGGAGTTCCTTTCGACAATACTGAAAGTCCAGCTGGCTAAGGAAACGGGGAGGAGGGACGGACTGCCCAGAGAGCGATCGTTCCTCGAATGTGCCCAGGAGATGATCGACCTAAGCGCAAGAGAGGAAGAGACGCGGATGGACGTGGAGGAACCGGATGGATCCGAGTGACGGATAGACGACCACGGACAGCCCCGACAGGTTGGAGGAAGAGGGACATAAGGCAGCAGAATGGAGAAAAGGCCACGATGGGTGAGAGGAGATCCGGACAGTCGTCGAGGCCGAGGAATGGTCCCCGGAGGGAAGAGAGAAAATGTCACGGGTGTGGGAAGCCGGGACATTTGGTAGCGCAGTGTCCGCGCACTAGATGCTTCGAGTGCGGGACCGAAGGGCACATAGCGAGACAGTGCCCATACATGTTTCGCAGGAGAGAGAGACCTCAGGACGAGCCGATGGAGGTGAATGTACAGAAAATGAAAAGCTAGGGTGCAGCAGAGGAACGGATCTTCGGAGGAGGCAACCGAAGAGTCGGGAACTTCGGGAACGGAGACGGACGAACCAGGCAGCAGCGGAGGCGAAGGAGGCAGGGGCAGCAGCCAACGGAGCGAGCAGCGACGAGTGGCGGCAGTGAGGAGGAAGCGGGGCGACATCTGAGGAGTGTGTCAGCAGAGAGGCGACCGCACAGCAACATGCAACAGTGTCCGAGGTAAGCCATGCTGGTTGCCAATTATTGAAGTAGACGGGGGAGTAAAGTGTCTTGTGGACACGGGTAGCTCGAGCACTATCATGACCCGAGGGGCGGTAGGGAAAGTGTGCGAGAGCGAGAGGGTACTCCGGATACAGAAATGCGACTGCCAGCTGATCACTCTGGGTGGTCCCTGTAGCGTAGAGGGGGAGGCGATAATTGGGCTTGATCGGTGGGCAGGGAAAGAGGGTGAGCTAAGGGTGCATGTGGTAGAGAACATGACACGGGAATACCAGGTCATAGTAGGGTGCGATCTGTTAGGGCAGGTAGGGGCGAGCATCAGAAACCATAGGGGAGCCTGGAGTATTAGGCTGGGAAAGAGGAGGTTTGGATGTGTAGGGGTCGCGAGAGAAAGAAGGGTGCGGATAGGAGCGGTGAACAGGGTGGAGGACTGGAGGAAGTCGCTACAAACGGAGTTCGAAGATATTTTCTTCAGGGAAGGCGAGGTATTGGGGGTAACGGGGAGAACGGTGCATGAAATCCCACTGAAGCAGGATAGGGTAACATACGTGAAGGAGAGAAGATACCCGCAGGCGCTGAGGCAGCATATTCGGGAGGAATTGGACAGCCTAAAGGAGCAAGGGATCATCGTTGATAGTACCTCACCATTTAATAGTCCCCTGTGGGCGGTGAAAAAGAAGGCAGTGCCGGGGGATAACAAGGAAAGATACAGGGTAGTAATAGACTATCGGAAATTAAATGACAACACATTGGATGAGAAGTACCCGATCCCCAGATTCGAAGATATACTCGATAGGTTAAGTGGGGCAGTGGTATTTAGCACATTGGATCTCAAAGCGGGATATCACCAAATACGGATACACCCAGAAGACCAACACAAAACGGCATTTACATTTGAAAGGGGGCATTATGAGTTCACCAGGATGCCGTTTGGTCTGAAGAATGCGCCCATAACGTTTCAACGTCTGATGGACGAGTTTCTAAGAGGTATTGATGACTCGGTATGCCAAGTGTACATGGACGACCTGCTGATTTTTAGTAGAACGGAAGCCGAACACGTGGGGCATCTGAGATCAGTTTTCGAAAGGCTGCGGCAATTCGGGCTGAAATTGTCGAGCGAGAAGTCCCTGCTGGGGCAAACGCGGATTAATTTTTTAGGCCACACTATCTCTAGCGAGGGGGTCAGACCGGATGCAGCAAAGGTGGAGGCAATCACACGGATGGCGGTACCACGGGACGTTAAAGGGATCCGGAGGCTTCTCGGGACGCTTAATTATTACCGGAGATTCGTCCCTGAGATGGCAGAATATTTGGTACCCATTAACAATTTGCTGAAGAAAGGCGTGAAGATTGTGGTGACACCGGAAATGGAGAACAATATCCGGAAATGCATGAATAGGTTGCAGGCAGAGCCTGTGTTGGCGTTCCCGGATTTTGAAAAGCAATTCAATATAACCACCGATGCGAGCGAATACGCGTTAGGGGCCGTTTTGTCTCAGGGAAGAAGTGAGGGTGAGCGTCCGATAGCGTACGCGAGCCGTCGGCTTACGGGTGCGGAATCAAGGTACAGCGCTTTGGAGAGGGAGCTACTCGCGATAGTGTGGGCTATCGACCATTTCAGGCCATACGTGTTCGGGAGAAAGTTTCGAGTCCACACCGACCACAAACCCCTTCAGTGGGTAGGGAAACTCAAGGAAACCTCAGCTAGGATCACGAGATGGAAAGAGGTCCTTAGCCAATACAATATAGAGGTGGTATATAAGCCGGGAAAGGAAAACGTGGTGGCAGACTGGCTCTCTAGGGCCATCATGATAAACGCGGTTGAAGAGGACAGGGGAGGACCATCGCGGGACGTGCGCCAATTCTTGAGTGAATAGACTCCTGATGGCGAAGGGGCAAATGATACCGCAGGTATAGAGGACAGGGAAGAGTCCCCAGAAGAGGAGAGCTCAGCGGAGGAAAGGGCAGCGGAGATGGACGAAATAGATGAAATCGTTAACGACAAACATCGTCAGGTGATCTGGAAGACACGAACAGCCGGGATCATGAAAATAGATTTCAGAAGATATGGGAGGAGTAGGATTCGCGTCATTTGGTCGCAACCCGGGGTAAGCGAAGAGCAAATCTGTACGGCACTGAGGGACGCCTCGGAAGCGGGTAAAACGCACTATCTATATGTGGGGAATAATACAGTATGGGACAAGATCAAGCGAATGTGGAGATCCGAGCGAATAGGCGTGGACAGGACATTCATCCGGTGCAAATATGCGGTGGAGACGATACAAGACGAAGAGCAACAGCAAGCAGTCACATTGGCATATCACCAGGGGAAAACCAACCACCGAGGCGTGAACGAGACGTTGCAGGCATTACGTCGAAAGTATTTCTGGTGGGGCATGAAGAGATCCATCCAGGAAATCATTGGGAAATGTGAGATATGCATGCGCACAAAATACGATCGACACCCCCCCAGAGGAGTTCAGGAGGAGACACCTACAGGGAATATGCCGCTACAAGACCTCCAGATTGATACTTTCACCTGGAAAGGGTTCAAGTGGGTCACTATAATCGACGTTTTCAGCAAAGTGGCGATGGCACATCAGGTCATGGACAAATCAGCCAATGCAGTGGCAGAAGCCCTACAAACCTGGGTGCAGTTCTATGGGGTCCCCGAGAGGATTACATCAGACGGTGGTAGGGAGTTCGATAATACCGCGATTAGGGAAGAGGTGAAGCGATTGGAGATTGCGTGGCATTATAACACCCCGGGACATCCTAAAAGTAGAGGCGGCATCGAACGGTTGCACAGCACGCTGAGTGACCACATCCGTGTATATCAGGGAGAAAAAGGGTTGGAGCCGGATGTTGCGATGAAGAAGGCGGTAACAGCCTATAACCACTCGATCCACTCCGTAACGGGATTTTCACCCGTAGAAGTTCTATTTGGGACGCGCAGGCCAAGGCGGGATTATGGGG